TTTTAAGAAGAGGGGGGAGAAAGGAGGGAAAACATCAAGCAGAGCGATAGTTACAAGTAGCAGAAGCAAGAAGCTGTCAGGACAGTTCTTCAGGAAGCAGCCCCGCACAGAGCAGCGCTCTCCGCTCCCGCGCCGTTCGTTCCCCAGCGGAGCGGGGCCTTTCCTGGCACATTCAGCAATGAACCCGTTCCGTGCCGGCAGAGCCGCACACCCGGGCCCGCCCCGGGGCCCTTCCCGGCGCTCAGCCCCGGCCCCGGCCGTGCCCCGGCCCGGGGCGCACTCCAGTGTCCCCGCAGCCCTCCCGCCGGGCCCCGCGGGCCGTGCCCCGTTACCTCGGGGGGCTGCGGGTCGCGGCCACGGCGGGGGGAGGCGGCGGCGGCGGCCGAACGTTCAAACCGGCCCCGCTCCCGGCGGCCCCGGCCCCGCGCGTTTCCGTTTCCGCGGTGACCGGGGCTGGCCGGCCCGGCCCGGGAGGCCGCGGGCGGGGCATGGACACGGCGAGCACAGCCCGCAGGGGCTGGGGAGTTGTTCGCCCCCAGGAACGGGGAAAGCTCTCGGCCTTGAGGAGTGCGAGGAAGGTGCTGGTGGGGCACCGCAGCCACCGCTCTGAGAGGCGCTGGGCTCTTCCCTCTGGTGACCGGGGACAGGAGCCAGGGCACGGCTGGAGCTGTGCCAGCGGAGGGTTAGGTTGGATTTTAAAAACTTCTTCCCCCCAAGGGTGCCCAGGCTCCTCAGGGAATGGGAATGGGCACGGCCCCGAGGCTGCCGGAGCTCCAGGAGCGTTTGGACAGCGATGCCCAGGGTGGGGTTGTTGCGGTGTCTGTGCAGGGACAGGAGCTGGACTCGATGGTCTTTCCCGCTCAGGATATTCTGTGTTTATTTCATTCTGTGATTCCTGCCCGGGGTGATGAATGTCACCACAGCCCAGCAGTGCGGTCATGGCTACACCCAATGCTCTCCCCCAGATTCCCTTTGTAGATTGTTATGGATCCGCTCAGACACGCCCGGAAAACGCCTCACGAGTCCCCAGCAGAGCCTCGGGGAGCGGCGGGGCAGAAACGGGAGATCGCAGAATCCCAGAATCACACAAGGTTGGAAGAGACCTTCAGGACCATCGAGTCCAACCCAAACCCCAACACCTCAACCAAACCTTGGCACCCAGTGCCACATCCAGGCTTTGTTCAACACACCCAGGGATGGTGACTCCACCACCTCCCCGGGCAGAACATTCCAGAACTTTATCATCTTTCCATGAGAAAAATGCCGAGTGCAAAGTCCTGCACCTGGGTTTGGCCGCTCCCAGCACAAAGCTGGCTGGGTGGGGAATGGATGGAGATCCCCCCGGGGCAGGACTCAGGTGTTGCTGGGTGAGGAGCTCAGCGTGCCCGGCCCTGTGCCCGGAGCTGATCCCAGCAGGGCAGCAGGGAGGGGGCTCTGCCCTCTGCCCTCAGGTCAGAGCCCGCCTGCAGAGCTGCCCCAGCACAGGGAGGAGCTGGAGCTGCTGGACACAGCCAGAGGAGGCACCAGGACGATGCCAGGGCTGGAGCCCCTCTGCTCTGAGCCAGGCTGGGAGAGCTGGGGTGCTCACCTGGAGAGGAGAAGGTTCCAAGGACCCTCACAGCCCCTTCTAGGGGCTAAAGAGGCTCCAGGAGAGCTGGAGAGGGACTGGGGACAGGGATGGAGGGACAGGACACAGGGAATGGCTTCTCACTGCCAGAGGGCAGGGATGGATGGATATTGGGAAGGAATTGTTCCCTGTGAGGGTGGGCAGGCCCTGGCACAGGTGCCCAGAGCAGCTGGGGCTGCCCCTGGATCCCTGGCAGTGCCCAAGGCCAGGCTGGACACTGGGGCTGGGAGCAGCCTGGGACAGGGGAAGTGTCCTTGCCACAGTAGGGGGTAGAAGGGATGGGCTTTAAGGTCTCTTCCCACTCAATTCTATGATTCTGTGCTATGAATTTAACGGGATGGGTCCAGGTCCTTGATATTCAGGGGATGGACTTGGTGCCTTGTGAGTACAGGAGAGCTGGGACTAGAAAAGTGAGGGTACAGCAGCAGTGGGGGAGTGTCCTGGTTTGAGAGGAAGTGAGTTTTTTGGGATGTTGTGGCACTTTTTTCATGGAAAGAGTGATAAAGTTCTGGAATGTTCTGCCTGGGGAGGTGGTGGAGTCACCATCCCTTGTGTTTAACAAAGCCTGGATGTGGCACTGGGTGCCAGGGTTTAGTTGGGGTGTTGGGGCTGGGTTGGACTCCATGAACAGGTTCTTTGTGATGTGGTATTTTATTCCTGCTGGCTGGATATTGGCTGTATCTATTTTTGTATCTTCATTATGATCAACATTTGGGGGAAAAATGTTTCTATTCAGAGCTTAGTGAGAAATATTTGCCACCCTGAGGTCAATAAATCAGAAGTAGCTTTTGAGCCTGAGCAGTGGGGGGTGGGTGCCAGGAATATGAGTGGATAAAATGAGAATGAAATTTCAGGAGAAGGTTCAATAATTGCAGAGCCAATTTTATTCACAGTTTCTGAGTAAAATCTGTTCAAGTATATTCTTGTAGGTAATAGAGAGATTTTGAGCTCACTTTAAAACATTAAATATGCTCCATATTGCTGATGGGTTTTGGGTTGTCCTATCCCAAGGACAGAGAACATGAGGGGGTGTTGTGGAATAGAAGAATTTCAAAGCACATGCCTGACACTTCTGCACAAAAACCATGAGTTGTACTTGTTTTGTAGCCATTTCAAAAAAAACATCAATTAATCCAAAAGAATTAGAGAAATCCTTCAGCTGCTCAGTCTCTTCCTGAGAGAATGAAGTGTCTGTGTGTATGTACGATCCCAAATAAACCCTCTGACCTCTTTGATTCGTGCATTTCTCTTTCCCCAAAATCTGTCATGGGCTTTGCTCTGTTGTAGCATCTAAAGCGCTTTTATCTGGAACAAACAAACTCTTCAACACTTCTGAGTTTGATTCAGATGCACATAGAGATCAAACAAGAAACCCTTACATGTACAGTAGGAAATTGGCTGTTTTCTTTGATTTCTCAGCTAATCTTCAGCAGGAATGATTCTGTGTTAGGGCTCATTGGGTGATAGATCTGACAGCTGTACCGGGGCTCAGAGTGCCTTAAACCCACATTTGCACAGGAGCAGTGCAAAAATCACTGATGGAGTTTTTCAACCATGGTAGAATCTCAAGAGTACATTACAAGGATAATTTATTATCTTGAAATTCCAGATTTAAAATAGTTGTCATTTGATATATATTGGAACATGGGACACTTCTCATCTGTGTTAAATCCATGGTAGATCCTTGCAGCAGAGTAAGGCTGCTGTGTTTCTGCACATTGCCTTCAGATTTGAGTGTATCTTTCTCATACTCATCACAAAGTACTTTGAAAAACTGAATTTGCTGGAACATGATCTAAAAGAGCACAAGGCTAAGCAAAATCAATGACTGGAACCACTACTCCAGTTGAAATTTCCAGAGGGAGTAGATCCAGTTTCTGGGTCTGCTTCCCAAGGCAGAGCAGGGTGGCCACAGAGGTTGGAGCCTACATGAAGTGATTTGACAATTGCATAACTTCTGTCCAAAAAAACAGAAAGAAAAGCACAAGATTGAGGAAATGACTGAGGTGTTGTCTCCATCCAAAGCTGCAGCCTGGACATGAGGAGCACTGATGTGCCCTGAGCCTCCCGAGGAAATCACTGTAGACACACTGATACAGAGCACAAAGATATCCCAACCAAAATACAGAACAAATTCCCAATTTGAATTGTAAAAATATGGTCATTTCAGCAAAACATAGTCAATATTTCCCCCCACACACACACATTTTACCACATTCTCTTATCTCTTTAACTGTCTCAGCAGGTTGCCACAAGCAACATGAACACAGCTTAAGGCATTTTATCAAACATCTCAAAAATACAGAAAAAAGAAGAAAGCAGGTCTCACTGCCTCATACCAGCTTCTGGAACACTTCGAGTTGCAAGACATTATTTTTCAGCCCTTCTGAGCAAATCTTTCATGTCTGGAAAGTTGTGATTCACAAACACCTCACTACTTCAAAGAGTTAACAGGTCACAGGTTTTTTTTTTTTTTTTCTCCCTCTTCTTGCTTCAGGAGAGTAGATAATAAATTCAGCATGTGAACATTGGCTCCTAAGGGTGATCCTTTCAAGTGTTCCAGTGCTTCACATCCAGTGAGGAAGCAGGGCCAGCTGATTTGTTCAGTCATTCTTCTGCTGGATGGGTAAGTAGAACTGGGAAAACTTCCTTAGAAAAACCTCAGTTTTCCTGGGGCAGCTGTTTCTGTGCAAAACACAAGGCATTTCAGGGACAAGCTGCATTTGGGTGGCAGTGAATGCTAAGTTTGCTTACACCAGTTTCACAGGGTTTGCTGTGACACACGAGTTAATATTAAACTGGGTTTGGTATCTCAGCAACTGTCCTGAACATCCTGATCCCAGAGATGGATCCACACCACATTTAGACTGGATTTCCAAATTCATTGTGGTGCCAGCTGAGCTATGTAGGTGTTAGAAGGACTTATGGGTATCTTGGCCTGCAAACTTCATTTGAGGATCCCACCTGAATGTGTTCAACCAAAATATGGCACACGCTGCAACAAAATGCCCACTTCAGTTGCCAGCATGAATTTTCTGTCTCTGCATAGAAAATTAAATTGTTGCTGAGTACAAAGTACTAAATACTTAATAATAGCTGCCTCGATCTCTCCTTAAAAATAGGAAGCATAAGGATGAATTATATCAGTCATACTATTAAAATATTCATATGCAGCCTTACCAAAAAAAAAAACCAAGGAAAAAAGATAATTAGAATATGTTTAGAGTTCTTTAATGGCAGCTCTACCATCTTACAAGTAGCTTGATCTTAATGTTAAATGGTCCCTTTAAAACTTTTGCAGTGGATTATTACTTACTGTGGAGCTCATGCTTTTTATCAAAGAAAAGGCTTTTAAACTGCAGAGGGAACCCTGTATGACTCATGACAATTTATTGTAAGTGTACCACAAATATTTCTGTATCACTTTCTAGTATGTTGAAATTATAATTACTTTTTCTGAATGAAAATACAGACATAAGCACAAAACTTGCCAAACTGGATCATACCAGTAAGCTGCCTGTATCATAAATCAAATTAAAAGTACAGTTTACTTCAGAGCTACTTAATGATCAGAGATCAGAACTATTGCTCAATGGTGACAGTTCTCTTAAAAAAAACAACAACAAAAAACCCCCAAAACTGAAGCAATTATGTTGTGTAATATTGAAACAGAGGTAAAAATTAACAGTGGTTTAAAACAGTTTCAGGTGAAGTTAGAATCTCTAAAATGTAAATAGTCTTACTAACTGAAGCATTTTTTTAAAGAAATATTAAAAAACCCTTTATCTGATGTTGTTGATGTTTAAATCATGGTTGGATTCTTGGCTTCTAAACTCATTTGGAAATCTCAGTCTTTCTACTTACGTAAATTCTGGAAAATCCCAGGCTCATGGCCCTCTATCTATAATTAAAGGTCCACTCCCTGTCACAGGGGAGTGGTAATGGAATCAGAACCCAGTAATTACTAATGATTAAGGCCTCTTGCTATAAATCAGTCTAGAGCTAAAGGATCTGATTGATGATTAGGTAATATTAAATAAGAACACACTAGTGGCTGAAAATCACTTTATTGTAAAGCAACTGCTATTGAGGAGGTCATTTACAGTTGCATAAATGTTGGAAATGTGGAGAGAGAAGCACTAGTGCAGGGATTTGGAAGGCAGAGACAAGAGAGTGGAAGTTAATGGCTGAAATGTTGTGTTGTAGCTTGTGGAAGAGAGTGGAGGGGATAGTGGGAGGGAAGAAAGCATTCACAGATTCCAGAGTTCACCTGGAAATTTACACTTACAGGACCTGAGTTACATTTACAAGACCCAAGTTACACTCACAGGACCTAAGTTTTTCTCTCCTATGTGGAATATTCTGTCTCAGTAAGGCAGAAGTTTAGTACTGGGTTATTTCTCTGCTTCAGGCTTCATCTTCACATGCTTTCATCTCTGAGGGGTCTTTCTTCACCAGAGTTGAGAAAAAGCCACGTTCTGTTGAAGACAAGTGAAGAACTTGGGTAATTTCTTATGACGTGACAGCTAAAAACAACAGCAGGGTGAGCAATCTTTGCATCATAGTGAAACTGTTGGAAGAAATGCACTTTTATTTTCTATCTTAATAAAGCTGAGCTAAGTGCATCAGAAGCCAAATGTGAGGAGAGATGTTTTCATCGTGGACAGGCTGTGCTTTTCCTTTGCTTAGAAATGAAACTAAAACTTACAAGGAAAATTCTATGGAAGGAATATTAACAAAACAAGTGTGAAACATTTCCTCTTGCTAGCAAAGTTGGTAATGTCTATTTATTTATTCTAAAAGCCTGAGTGCCTGTGAAGCTTTTCCTCCAGCATCAACTCCTCCCCACAGCTCTCATCTGCTTTTCAACACTCTTGGTCCAAAGTGTTTTCCTGATCAGCAGAAGGTGTAAATAATTCACCAGAATAGGAGGGAATATGTCAGGTTCTCAAACCTGCAGCAGTGTTCAGGCTTTTTGTCCCTGAGGATTTGGGAAATCCCAGAATGTTTTACATTTGGCCTTTTCTTTGGGCTAGTAACACTTTTAAGTAACATCTTCTAGAACAGGACAGGAATTAAAGCAGGGCTCTGACACAACCAAAGGAAAATTCTTGCTGAGCATTCTCTCTTCAGGCCATTTTCTTCCAGAATACCCAATTACTCAAACACCCAGTAATTCAAATAGCCACTCAAGTAGGGCTTGAAGATGAATTATGACATTGTCCCCCACATCAAGCAGTTGTAATGCCCCCACCAGGAGCTGGTTTGGGAGCAGCCTGCCTCATACCTTTAAAGCAGGCAGGGAGGGTGAAGTTGCCATCCACACATGCCACATCTACAGTGTAGGCACAGGACTTTTCCTTGTTCTTGCAGAAGAAGGATACAGTTTCCCCGTGCAGAATGCCATCCTTCAGGTCGTTCTGAACTCTCTTCTTCTCACCGTTGTACAATACTACAGCTTTCTTTACTGGTATTTTACATGGTGCTGGAAAAAAAATCCAGTTATAAGGAGCAGGTTTGGAAAGGGGGTAGATCAGATCCCAGCAGAATTCTGTGTATGTGATATTTGGGAATGAAAAATGTGCCCTATATGCAGACAGAACTTCTGCTGGTATTAAAATGCTGAAGAAATTCAGACCCTGAAGCATAGGGTCAAAAGTTTCCAGTAAAAATCCAGCCTCAGTGTAATTTCTAATGACATGAAGTAGGAAGAGGAGAGGAAATACTCAGACAGAGTAAAGTTACATGGCTGATTATTGAAGTCAGTCCAGATACATCAATGTCATACAACATTCAGTGTTGGGAGTGGGCTTAGATTATCAGGGCCTTGCAATTCCTTTTTTTGGCTTCCTTTTGAGCACAGCTCTTGCACAAAGGAGTGACTGTCAGAATTCAGGACATCCCCTCTGGCTGTCCTGGATTGCCTGAACCCCTGCCAGGGGGCTCAGAGACCCTGGCACAGAGCCCAAGATCCCTGTGACTTGATTATGACCCATGGAAAAAACTACCAACCTTATATAAGGATCTGCAAGCCAAGAAATTCTAAGTAGAATAATAGTTAGTCTGTCACAGGGTGAAAAATAGATTTTTTGGGGTTTTAGAATGGGGGTTCAGAGGGCAAGATGGAGGGATCTGGGCGTGTCCTTCTCCTTCTTGGCCTCCATCTCCTGCTGTGATGTTGGCACTTTTGCATTGGTTTAGAGTAGAAGCTCAGTGTCTAACACAGGTGATGGGTATTGGGAAGTTATGGTAAATATTGTACAGGTAGTTTTTAGTATAAAAAGATAACACACAGTGTGCCTCTGTCTGACCTGCTGAATGGACCTCAGCAGGCCAGAGAAAGAATTTTATAGATAAGAAACAATAAACAACCTTGAGAATGAAAATAGAAGAGTTCTGAGAATTCAGAGTTCTCCTTCTTTGACTGCCAGGGAAAAGAGACTTTGAGAATGAAAATAGAAGAGTTCTGAGAATTCAGAGTTCTCCTTCTTTGACTGCCAGGGAAAAGAGACTTTCCAACGCATCTTGGGGTTACTCTGAGCAGCAGAAGTCCCGAGAAGGGGCAGCTGAACAGTCAGAGCCGTGGTCAGGTGGAGGAGCTCAGTTTGGTCCCTGGTTCCTGGGGATGGGTGTGCTCACCTCTGCAGACTGGCTTTGTGGACCAGTTCCCAGTGTTCTCACAGCGGGAGTGTTTGGGTCCCTCCATGACGAAGCCGGTCTGGCAGCCAAAGCTGACGCTCTCATTGTAGTGGTAGGTTCTGCGCACAGCAAAATCTATAAACCCATTTTCTATTCCTGTTGGAGTGGGGCAGGTGACAACTAGGGGACAAAACCAAACACAAAGCTTTAGCAGAGTCACAGGTCAAAAAGACAGCTATAAACCTGAAAAATGTAGAAAAACTTTCATGGGCGTTCACTGCTGCCTCTTTCACAGGAAACACAGCCAGGGGAAAGACAGCTTAAAAACCACAACAAATAAATAAACATTCCTTGTTTTAAATACACATCCATTGCAATCTGTGGTTATAACATGACTTAAACATGGTGTAATTTAACTAAAAGCAGGGAAGTTTTTAGGACTGAGGGTAAGGTTGGCTGTTTCTTAGGTGAATCTGAGCACTTAGAATCAAATGTTGGCTGCACACTGGAGGCCAGGTTCAGGTTCCCCACTGTGCACCATGTTTAGCAGGGTTTGTTTATATAACCTTTACACCTGCAGCAAATGTTTTGTCAATCCCATGTTATGTGCCATGGCTTAGCAATCTCCTTGATCCACGAGCCTGAATGATTGCAGAATTCAGCTGCAGAGGGATTGTGCTGTATGTTTGCAATTACAGTTGTATAAAAAAATAAAATATTGTTGTTGATTTAGTTTTGTATCTGCAATTCTCAGGAATGTTTTTTGGTGTGGATAAACATGAGTTACTCACCCTTGCACACTGGAATGCTGCTCCAGGTGCCATTGGCCATGCAGGTGGCTGTCTCATTCCCAATCAGGGCAAGAGGAGGGACACATTCAAACTGGACTGTGTCCAGGAAATAAGAGACATTTCCAGGATGCAGGCGACGGAAAGAGATGACCCCAAATTCCAGGAGCGAGGGAGGTGCACAAGTCACAGCTACAAAAGCACAGAATTCAGAAAATTCAGAAAAAGGTTTAAAGCATCCAGAAAAAAAAAAGCATTCAGAAAATTAAATCTTAACAAGAAAATAATTGTGGAATCAGAGGAGCAACATTCTTATGACTAAATGAACCCACATGGAATCACAGCTGGCAAAATATAAATTAAGTTAAAAGTGTCAGAGGGGCCTCAGAGTATGGAATTCATGATTTTTGCTGGATTTTTCAGCTAATATTACTGCTTTTCAGTCAAGTGTTTTTGCAGGATAGGTTATGGCAAAACCCTGCATAAGTACAAAGGCATGACAATATCCTCTTTTTATACACAGGGAGGAGGAATTTGAGTGGATAAGCATCTTACCTCCAGCTGTAAATAGCATCCCTGATCCCGACCTTTTGTTCAGACCTTTCAGCTATATTTCTCTAAAACCCACACATAGAAAACCAAATATGCAGCATTCTGCTTGATTTTTCCCAACCAGCTTTTGCACAGAGGAGACTTCTGAATAAGAGTATATATAATTTTGAGCAATGCAAAGGAATATTTCTGGAATAAGAATAAGGATATTTAATTTTTATTGAAACACATACGTTGACAGCGGGGAAAAGTTCCAGTCCACTTTCCATCTGCCATGCACTGGCTTGTTCTTGACCCAACAAGGTTGTAGCTGGAAACAAACAGACCTGGTTATCAGAGCAGGGAGATCAATCAATGATCTGCCATTTCTCATAAACAGAATTAAGAATTCAGCTCTGAAATCCTTTTCTAGTTTAACAGTTCCTGACCTCAGAGGAAGTTTAGAATCAGATCTGAAAAACTGTTAATATCCAAATCTTGCAAAGACCCAGGCAGTAGGCGTGGTACAACAAGATGTTTTGTTGTTTCAACTTTATATTCTGTTTTACATATTAATTTCTAGAACTGATTAATACTATGGATGTATGTAAATAGCAAATATTGATCTGTGATTGCTAATGCAAATGGCATGCTTTCTTGGGAGGAGTTCCCAGTTAATTATGGCAATTAGGATCAAATATTGGAAAGAATTCAGTGCTCTTAAAAACTAAAGTCACCAAGGTGCATTGTTATATTTTAATCTCAGACATTTCAAATCCATATGCACATTACACACTTCTCTCCCATCCTCTGTATTCACACAAATAGCATCTACTCTGAGTTTTAAAGAAATACCCATCATGAGTCTGGCATTTCAATATCACACAGCTGAACACCAGTAAATTAGAATTAACAAAACCAAATCAAGTCCCATTGCTACACTTGGTGTCATAGTTGAATTTATTTATTCCTTATCTTGCTCCTTTTTTACAGAAGGAGGTTGTTGAGGCTGTTGACACTTTTCAGTGAGCTCTAGGCTGTCTCACCTGTCCCCTTCCAGGTAAGCCTGGTTTTGTCATTAATTACCCAAGGACAATTAAATACATGCTACTATCAAATGCTTCCCTACATTTACCAGAACTATTTTTTTAAAATTCATCCTTTTTCCTAAAGCTAACACGTAGCCCTGAGGAAAAGTGAATTTACTGCAGGTAAGTTAGGATTAACATCATGTTTTCATTTACTGAGCTTGGAAAGGCATAGAAACACAATTTCCAGTCCTCAGAGCCCAACAGCATAACTTTGATAGAGATTATCTACTCTCTGCTGTAGGATTTCATCTCATGATGTAATAAGAGGATTTGAAAAGCAGGGGACAGCGGTCCAGAATAAATTTTTTGCATAAAATCTCTGCTATTTTGGTGGTTTCCATATTTGTAAGACTTTTCTTTGGAGTAGCAAAGCTCCATAATGTTACAGCCAAGACTGAACAGAGGTGGATCACCAGACAGGCTTTTTTTTATGATTTCTGAAATGTAGATGAGTTTTTATGTGCAGTTTTCAATGTTCTCTGTCTTGCAGTGTGGCAGTGGGTGATACTACAATGTAATTTATGCTGTTTATTTAGCAGCAGGAGAAAGGAACACTTACCCTGGATCACATGAAAAAGTTACAGTGCTCTGGTACTGAAACTCTTCAAAATCCATTTTCCCATTCTGCAGGGGTGGAGGAGGGGGACATCTCTTTGCTGTTTATTAAATATTAAAAAAGGATCATATTATTTCATGAGGCATGACATAATAATCTCATTATAGTGGGAACAAGTAGATCATAAAAGTTCGTCCTGGTGTCTTTCACATTTCTCCACTCCCAAGTACTACATTCCACAAGTCTGGCTGTTCTATATTTCCATCAAAATACAAGTTTTTGTACAAACATAAAATACTTTTAATACTCAATTGCCTGAGGAATGTAAGTTGTCTGCAATGAAATGATGGAAATGCATTTGAGGATGCAATAAATGCACGGGTTAAGCAGCACATGTTGTTAGAGAATGAGCACTGCTGGGCTGGGGTGGATGAGGGTTCCCCCTGTCCAGCTCCAGTCTCCATCCCCATCTGTGTACATGACATTTGGGAATGAAAAATGTGTCCTACATATTGGCAGAACCTCTGCTGGTATTAAAATGCTGAAGAAACTCAGACCCTGAAAGCGTAGGGTCAAAAGTTTCCAGTGGAAATCCAGCCTCAGTGTAATTTCTGTTCCACTGAGAGCTGGGGGTGAAGGGCAGCTGTGGGACACAGATGGGAAGACCCTTTCCATCACCACCCCTCACCACACACTGCTATCCTCCAACAGGAGAGGGAAGAACCAGTGGAGGGAGACCTGCTGAAATCCCTCCAATTCCTCTTGCAGATGATGAAATGCCCTTTCAGATGCCCCTTGCACACAGGGGCAGGAGGTGCTGGGTACTCACGGAGGCAGAGCAGGGTGTTGAAGGCCCACTTGCCCGTTGGGAGGCACGTGTACTTCCTCTGCCCACTGTTGGGCATGAACCCGGGCCGGCACGTGTACTCCACTTCCTCACCCACTTCATACACCTTTTTGTCTACATTGAGTGTGGCAAACAACACTTCTGGTGGCCTGGGACAGACTGGAGGAAAGGAATTTACAAGAGGTTTTGTTTACAAGTTGGAGAGAGGTCAGGCGTGGTCAGGATCTGCTGCAGGTTCTCCAGTTAGCAAACTCCAGTTTGAACCTGGAGTTGTTTTGATTAACCTGGAGTTAACTCTCCAGTTAGAACCTGGAGTTGTTTTGATTTCTCAGCTTGAAGCAGAGGATTCTCTATTGTTATGAGTTATGGTATCTCCCTGCCCTGAGCTTTTGTCTTCCTGAGGCAGCTGATGGCCATAAGTATTAGCCAGAAAAAAATGTGGTGCTCTTCTTCTCCTCAGCAGCTCTACCAATGGTCCCAGTTAGATTTGGTGTCGCTGTTTAAACTAAAATTTACTTTTCCTCCAAAATATTTATTTATGAAGGTGGTGCAGAAATTGAGTCAAGCTGCACCAAGGGAAATACAGGTTGGATATCAGGAAAAAGGTTTTTACAGAAAGGGTGATAAAGTTCTGGAATGTTCTGCCCAGGGAGGTGATGGAGTCACCATTCCTGGGTGTGTTTAACAAACCTGGATGTGGCACTGGGGGCCAGGGTTTAGTTGAGGGGTTGGGGCTGGGTTGGACTCCATGACCTTGAAGGTCTCTTCCAACCTGGTGATTCTGTGATTCTGTGAATTCAATTGCAGTAAATTGCCTTGGACAAAACAGGGTGAGAAGGACTTAGTAGCAAAGAAATGCCTTTCATTTTTAATCCAAATCCATTTGGTGGGCGTCAGCCTGAAATCAGGTATTTTTTCTTGTAATTAAATTTTCTTGTAATTAAATTAAATTTTCCCCCCAACTTTTCTGTTCACTGGGGCAGACCCTCTGTTCCATGAGGCAGCTCTGCTTCCCAAACGGCTTTAACACGATGCCAGCAGGAACAGCTCATCAGCCAGAGGGTGAGAACAGGAGGGAACAGCGAGGGAGGAACAGAGGGTGCAGCCCGAGCTCCTGCTGAGCACATGGAGAGAGGCTCCTGCTGCCATCGAGGGGAGAGCACAGAGGGACAGGGAGCTCAGGATGGAGAGATAAATGGCAAACACAGGCAGAGGAGACATGAGACAGTGCCCGGAGCTCTGGGTGTAGGGAAAAGGAGGAGAAAAGCGAGGCGGGAGCTGTGCAGGCACGGAGGGGTGAGCAGGGATGGAGCAGGTTAATTCCTGGCACACACAGTTCCCCCCTGGCACCCCGGCAGCTGGGTCCCACAACATCTGTCTGCATTTCTTCTGCTTTCCTTCGTCTTATGCTCTTGTACACAGCCACTCACCTCACCACAGGAAGAGACAGAGGAAAAAATGGAAAGCGAAAAGAGAAGAAAAGCTCTCTGAGAAAAGCCCTGATTAAAACACTCGACCAGGATTATCTAGAGGCTTTAAAATCCCGTTGTTTCCTCCGGTTTCCCCCATTCCCACCTGAGGATGGGGCTGTCCCTAGCAGGTGGAAGGCACTCACCTTTGGACGCGAGAGCGCAGTGGCTCAGAGCCACGAGGCACCCGAGCAGTGCCAGGGGATGCATCCTGCCAGTCCCCGACGTGCCGAGTGCCCCCAGGCCAGGGCTCTGCCCTTAAAAACCCACAAAAGGATGGTTACATATTAACTCTTTGTGTTTATTCCCATCCCAGTAAACAAAAGATAAAAGCTTCCTTGTGTCTCTGCTAATAAAGGCTGAAACAAGCATCACATGTTGCTCTGGGGGCATAATGCAGGAATTCAGATGGCAATTTCTGCTCCTCTCTGGCTGCTTCTGCAGAGCATCTCCTGCTGGGACCCATGGTGTTGGGGAAAACAGTATTCTCAGCATCTGTAGAGGATGAGGATATTTGGAATGCAAATTTGGTTTGAATAATAGAACTGTCACTCCGAGGCTCGTGTTTGTCACTGGAGCGTGGACATTTCTGTGTACCAAAGACTCCTGATAGTTATAGCAAAATCATTCCAGGGCAAAATGATCCATTTTGGAGTGACATTGGTACTGGAATGTGCCCCCAGTGATGTACCAACCTCATGCCAGCTTACACAGATGATGATCTGGCCTGAAACTTGGGACTTCAGGGTCCTGTTTGATCTGATTCCTGTTGTCTTCCAATTACCAGTTAACCAAAGGCAGCAGAGACAGTGCTCAGTGCCAGCTCTGCAGGAAGGCTGAAATGATGATTCCTCTTCTTATTTGTGACAAGGGGGTCATAAATCAGATTTTTGGGTGGCATAAAGCCTTGTTGTGGCACTGCAAGTTTGGAGCATCAAGTCAGAACTTGACAGGTATCAGCTGAGGTTCTGATCACTGCAGTTCTCCTAATTTAGCAGATTTTAACTGCAGGAGCATCTGAAGAGCAACCAAAATAACATTTGTGTAATGATTGTTCCACAGTTTGGTGTTTCTAATCTAAGTATCCTCCTCCCCTGCTGACTCACAGCCTGTGAGGGGGAGTGAGGGACATTTGAAGCTCTGAGAGAAGTTGGGTTATGTCAAGCTCTTACTGCTGGGATCTCCAATAGTTTGTTTGTTTTTGTTTTATGAAATTTCTCTGTTTGTATTTGAAACATGAATTTTAGCCACAACATTAAACAATTGGGAACATGCTATTCTTCTCAGAAAGAAAACGCTGTGAGTGTCCTGCTCAGACTATTTACCAAATACACAGTGCCGAAGGGCAAAGTACCACTGCTAAACCAACAGAAAAAGATTGACTTCATTTTCTGTATTTACATCTGATAATTTTTCCATTTGTCACAGCCTCCTTTTTCCTCCTCTCTTTCACAAGGAGCTCTTCCCTTCAAGGCACGCTGCTTTAATGAGCTTTATTTCCTCTGGTTTAAATCCTTCGGTAGATCTGCCGATATTTGGATATTTGGATTTTGTCCCTTTCTGTGTTTCCAATACCGGGAATGGACGGGAACAATTTGGGGCATTTCGGGGAACTCACACGCAGTTCCCCCCGCGGGCAGCAGGGGGCGCAACGCGCTCTGCCTTGGACCGGCAATTCCAAAGTTTTCTCTATTTAAAAACGGGGGGGAAAGAGTTAAATTACCAGTATATTCATTTTCCGTCGATTTCCTGCGTGAAAACTTTACCTCTTTTAAAACTGAGATTTAAAACTGCATGTGAAGGGGACAGGGGAATGAATATTTATGTGTAGAAGTGCATAGTAACTGCCAATGTTGTGATTCTTCTTGAAAACTTATTTCTCTGCAATGAGAAACATCTGAAAGTATGTTACAAATAACTGTGCTTGTTCCAGAAATTGGAGAAGGACACCGAGTTAATCACGAGATTGGAGCCCCTCTGCTCTGGAGCCAGGCTGGGAGAGCTGGGGGTGCTCACCTGGAGAGGAGAAGGATCCAGGGAGAGCTCAGAGCCCCTTGCAGAGCCTAAAGGGGCTGGGGACAGGGGATGGAGGGACAGGACACAGGGAATGGCTTCCCACTGCCAGAGGGCAGGGTTGGATGGATATTGGGAAGGAATTCCTGGCTGTGAGGGTGGGCAGGCCCTGGCACAGGTGCCCAGAGCAGCTGGGGCTGCCCCTGGATCCCTGGCAGTGCCCAAGGCCAGGCTGGATGGGGCTTGGAGCAGCCTGGAACAGTGGAAGTGTCCCTGCCGTGGCTGGAGAGTGGATAAGGTGATCCTTAAGGTCCTTCCAACCCAAACCATCCTGTAATTCTATAATTTTTTGGTTCTATAATTCTATGAAAATGTGACAATTATCATATGGATTCACCTTGGCACAGCACGAGCAAAACCAACCCAGTTCTTGCTGTGATTGTGATTGTGTGCAATTATATACATCAGGTGATCTTCCATCAAATCCAGCCCACTCCTTTCACATGTCAGCTATTTAATATCACAGCTCCTGCAAACCAGAGAATGAAGCAGAATTTGGTTTCATCAGAGACCTCATAAACACAGAGCAGAGGGGTGGTCTCTGCCCCAGATAATAATAATAATAATAATAATAATAATAATAATAATAATAATAATAATAATAATAATAATAATAATAATAATAATAATAATAATAATATCCTCAGTAAAGAAATGGCAGCTGCAAGCAGAGAAAGCAGTGCAGGAGCACTCAGAGGGGATATCAGCCATGATGGGAGCCAGATCAGTGTCCCAGTAATCTCATTGTTACCTGGGGTTGTGCTAACACAGCCTGAAGGGAGAACATGCAGGAGGATGTGAACAAACTGCCTTTGCAGAAGTGGCATTGCCCAGCTAAAATGTGAAGGGCAGCAAAGCAGACATCCAGAGTGAATGTTTGAAAAGGCAGCAATTAAATGATGGAGACTGGCATTGCTGGTTGATCAGAGGAATTTCTGCAAGAAACAGGACAGAGGAAGAGGATAAGTCAGAAAAGACCTTGAAAGGGAAGGTAAAAATGAAAAAGAAGGAGGAAAAAATAGAGAAAAATAAAAGAAAACTGATAATGAAAGCAATCTGTGCAGCAGCATTGTTCATTGACAGCAGGATCAACTGGAGCTGTCAGGACAGTAGGAAAAGACATAATAATTGGGACACAAGATAATAAGATAAGCAAAGGCTTTTGACTGGAATTGGTCTCCCCTGGAGTTATTATGCAGGAAGTTTTCAAGGAGCAGGCAGGCTGAGGGTCAGTGAGGTAACAGTTCCCAGCTAATGACCTCCTGTCCTCCCTCGAACCTGCAGTTCCACTTCCCTGGTTGGTGCTGTCATTTTCTGGTGTCACTCTGCTCCTGGCACAGACTTGCTGGGAGCCTGTCCTGCAGGACACTGAGGGCTGGGTCTGCACTGCCCTCTGCTCTCAAGATTTTATGGCTTCTCTCCAACCACAAAGTGCATCCCACAGCCAGCTCAGGATGCAGCAGTTTCTCAAATCAACAGGAATATCTTGACTGGGGACACTGGTGAGGGCACACCTGGAGTGCTGTGTCCAGTTCTGGCCCCTCAGTGTGGGAAGGACATTGAGACACTTGAACTCATCCAGAGGAGGCAGCGAGGCTGGAGAGGGGCTGGGAACACACAAACCCTGAGAGGAGCCCCTGAGGGAGCTGGGGGGCTCAGCCTGGAGCAAAGGAGACTCAGGGGTGCCCCCATCACCCTCACAGCTCCTGAAAGGTGCCTGTGCTCAGCTGGGGCTGGGCTCTGACACAACCAGAGCACACAGCCCCGAGCTGCACCAAGGGAAATCCAGGTTGGAGAGCAGGGAAAAGTGTTTGCCACAAAGGGGGATAAAGTTCTGGAATGTTCTGCCCGGGGAGGTGGGGGAGTCCCCATCCCTGGGGGTGTTTAACAAAGCCTGGATGTGGCACTGGGGGCCAGGGTTTGGGTCAGGGGCTGGGGCTGGGCTGGACTCGATGGCCTTGGAGGTGTCTGACAGCCTGGGGATTCTGGGAATTCTGTGAATATTAAGGAGAGGCCTGAGTGCATTTACAATTAAACAAATGTTTTAAAGCTGTGTTTGTCCAGCCAAACTCTTGTCATTTCAATTATTAGTGTTTCCAGAAGTGTAAACACTTGTGCAGAGCACAGACGGACGTGTTATAATTGGAAATTTTACCACTGGAAATGGCATTCTGCTTTCCCTGCGTCAACATGTCATAATAGAGGGGTGGCACAGGAAAAAAAGTGAGTATCTTGGACATTCCAGCTGATACAATTTTGTTTTTCTCTTACATTTATTCTCTAGAATAAACAAAATGCAACATGAAAGTTGCTATTTCTTGTGTCTCTGGTAAGTGCAGCTGTCCCCTGCTTGCTGCAGATTTCTGTCAGGCAGGAGAGCTGCCTTTGGGGCTGCAATGGGACCAGCAATCTTATCCTTCTCCCATAAGGATCAGATACTCAGATTCCAGCTTTTTTCCCCACTGTTTCTCTTGTTCCACCTGTTGGTGACTGGGTTCCCATGTTCAGCCAGCCAGAAACCAAGACCCACTTGCAGTGTATTATTTTCTGGTGGTATATTTTATATATATAAATACATTTTTTCGTATTTTTATATTGCCTGGTCTAGTGAAAGGTGTCCCTGCCTATTTTGTTCCATGGTTGGAACAGGCTGATCTTTAAGGTCCCTTCCAACCCCAACCATTCAATGATTCTCTGATGCTGGAGGTGAACATGTAGTAACAGATACTGACCTGGGCACAGAATGTCCTGGGCACAGAAAAAGTAAACAGTGAGTATATAATTCCTGCAAATACTATTTTCAATCAGTAGCAAACTTTAGGGGTAAATTGCATTCCTAGTTACCACTGATGTTTCTGAATTTTTTTCCTGAAGTTAGCAAAATAATTATGATTTTAGTCCTGGATCTTAAATCACTTTAAGCGCCCACTGTGGGTATTAAAATCCCCATTCCTGTGTGAATCTGAGATGGCACTAACAAGTGTTCCAGGTGACAGCAGGCCTGTGCTCCCCTGCAGAGGCATGAAGGTGTTTCAGTTTTCACATACATTAAACTCACAGTGTACAAAACCAGAGAGCATTTTACAGCTCCTTCCTCCTCTCCGCCTTCTCATTTCCTGCACAGAAAACCCGGAGAATCTCTCTCACAGTTCTGCTGTGACCCAAATATT